TTTCTTACAGTTCCCGCTGCAAACTCTCTCTCATACAGTTGTCGCTGTAAAATCTCTCTGGTACGGTTCCCGCTGCAAAATATTTATATTTCAAGCACCTTCCATATCCGACCCTCTCGCTACGTTTCCTTGTATATAGAGAAGTGTGATTGATGGTTTGTTGACGTAAGCTATCATAGAACCACCTGGGTGAAGTTTCAATCACGCTCCCTCCCATTCCACCCCCCGATGATTATGCCAATCTTCGTCGATCGTCCTTGGGACCTAAGGAAGCGTCATGGAAAGTTTAGTGATCATAGATATTACAGGGACCGAATGCATAGCGAACAGAAGATGTGCGCTCAGATGGCCTTCGCTATCAATGTTTTTTTAATCTTTTGAAATGCTGCAATCCTATTGGTCAGTTTTTTAGATTACCTGTAGCAAGCGTAGGTTTCGTTTTTTTTCGGAAAAAAGTACGTGTCGACCTTCCCCTGGATATAGACATCATTTCTGGAAAGCTTCATTGTATTTGGTCATATGGTGTCCAAATGCATAAAGAACAGACAAACAAACATTCTTCTTTATATATATATAGAAGATAGATAAAAAGAAGGGTGTGGATGTGAGTGTGCGTGTGGAATTGAATGTATGTGAGGGTCACGAATTGGAGAATATTCACACCCACACCCATCCTCATACACGCCCATACTTGCACCCTCAAGATGATGGTGAAAGTGAACATAAAGATGCAGTTGAGTGAATAAGAGACTGATATATTATTCATCTGAAGAGTAAAATTATAGGTGCAGATCTATATTTAATCTTTTCATACATTCAAATCTACATTAGCACATTCTTTCATTAAATAAATATCACAAAAATTGTTTGGTTTTTTATTTGAAATTAAAATGAAATCAATTTCCAACTTTCATCCAACCATCTTAAATATTACATCAGTTTTATCAATGGAATTTTCTCACGATTAGTAACTATTGACATAAAAAAAATTCTTTTCCATTTCTTCTACTACCGAGCAGTATTTTTTTTGTTATCTTTGAGTCATGAAGTTTATATATTCATTTCTTCTACCAACGTCTATTCACCGACATGGAAATGACAAACAATAAAACACATTGTTTTACATGCAATAAAGAAAAAATAACATATTCTTGTAAAGGATGTTCAAAAGAATTTTGTTCAGTTCATTTAACAGAACATCAACAAAACTTAAATGAAGAATTAGGTTATATCACCAATGAATATAATGAATTAAAACAAAAAATTAATGAACAAAAACAAAATCCACAAAATTTTCCATTAATAAAACAAATTAATCAATGGGAAATAAATTCAATTCAACAAATTCAACACAAAGCACTGGAGTACAGAGAAATCATCATTAAATACTCACAAACATGTATTAATGATATTGAACTGAAATTCAATGATTTAAATGAACAAATCAAACAAATTCATAGAGAAAATGAATTTAATGAAATTAATTTAAATCATTTAAAAAATCAATTGATGAAAATTACACAAGAATTAAATAACCCATCAAATATATCTATTCAACAGAATTTTCTTCTTATTCTTTTTTTCATCAAAATGTTTTATTTTCATCATTTTCTAGAACCAAAATTCAATAAATGGAAACAAAATGGCATCGCTGTAGCTGGTGGAAATGAACATGGACAAGAATAAAATAAACTCAGTGGCCCTGGTGGAATTTTTATTGATAAAAACAAAAATATTTTCATTGCTGATCGTTGGAATGATCGTATTATTCAATGGAAAGATAATGCAAAACAAGGACACATCATTGCAGGTGGAAATTTCAGAGGAAATGGAATGAATCAATTAGATCGACCTACAGATGTGATTATTGATCAACAATATTATTCAATCATTATTGCTGATCATGGGGAACAGACGAATGATCCAATGGTGGAATAAAAAGCAACAAATTCTCATTGACATTATTGACTGTGTTGGTTTAGCAATTGATAAACATGGATTTCTTTATGTTTCTAACAATGCGAAGAATGAAGTGAGACGATGGAAAATGGGAGCATATGACAACGTAGGAATTGTAGTGGCAGGTGGAAATGGACAAGGAAATCACTTCAGTCAACTTAATCGTCCTACTTTTATCTTTGTTGATGAAGAATAAGCTGTTTACGTATCAGATCAAAATAATCATCGTGTGATGAAATGGAGAAAAGATGCAAAAGAAGGAATTGTTGTTGCTGGAGGAAATCTCAATCAGTTGTATTATCCTGAAGGAATAATTGTGGATCATTTAGGTCAAATCTATGTGGCATATAGTGGGAATCATCGAGTAATGCGTTGGTTTGAAGGAAAAGAAGAAGGTGAAATTGTTGTTGGTAGATATGGCCGAGGAAATCAACCAAATCAATTGAATAAACCCACTGGTTTATCTTTTGACGATGAAGGAAATCTTTATGTTGTTGATTTTTTAAATCATCGAGTTGAAAAATTTGAAATAATTTTGTAAATGAAATTTTGATTTTGTAAAAATAAAGAAATTTTTCTTATTGAAAATCAATAAAAAAATCGTAAAAACTTGAATTAAATTTGATAATTTTGATTAAGAAATTCAAATAAATAAATGTTAAATTTTTCATCTTTTGTTAATTTAAAAATTTTGATAAAATGAAGATATCTTTACCCATTTTCTTTTAATAAAACTTGCAAAGAGCAGCAATTGCAAAATCTCTACTCAGGAGAATTCAGAATTTTGTAAAACACTGCCGAAGAAATAGAATTATTAGCAGAATTTTATTTCCTAGTAATTAATGGACTGTTTGATAGACCATCAGTATACAAAATTCTGAATTTTGCTGGGTAAGAATTTTTCAGGCTCTCCAAAAATGAAAATTTTTGTTTTTAGTTAAATGAGAAAGGATTTGATATTAAAGTTTCTCTTTGTTCGTCAAATAAAATCAAATTGATGAAGGTTTTTATGAAAAGATTTCGATTGCCTTGTTGTTTTTTTCATAGGAGTTCGATGAAAAGAAACACAATTTGAAGATGTGAGCATTGTTTTTTTCACTTTTTAATTTATATTATCATTTCATGAGGGCGTGGGTATGGATAGCTACGAAGACGCGGAAAAATAAAGTCATTTAAGAAAAGACATTCTTTTTCTTAATTAAAATTCATCATTCCACTAATTCATATAAAATACTTTTACACACATTTTTGATTATTACTGTTGTGTTATAACATTAACATGTTTTCAAAAATAAAATCTTTCTTAAGAAATTAACAAATGAAAAACTCCTTTTTCTTTTCTCTTTTAAAAACATTATAGATTATTTCATTTAATGTTATTATAGAATTCTAATTTAGTTTTCTGTACGTTACTTCAGATTTATTTTGTTAAATATTGTACAAAACAAAAAGAATAGAATGCGTGCCATACTAAATATTCATCAGAATACACCGTTATAACGTGCACCCTCATATTAAAAAGTAGTAATATCGTTCAATAAGTAATTTCAGTAAAGTAATGAATGATGTCAACTATTGAATTCTATAAATAATTGCTCTAAAACATCTCATTATTGGATTAAAATCAGTAGAAACAAATAAACAATCAAATATTGTGAAACATCGAGAATTTTTATATAAATTTGATTTGATTTATTAAATTCTTATTGATCTATAGTAGATGTTTTCATTTATGTTTTGTTTGATTCATTTTTAAAATCTTGTTCAGATCAGAATATCTGATAGTTGAATATGACCAGCATTTTATTGCTATCGTAATTTCTATCTTTCATTTCTTTTCTTTTTCAAGAAAAAGAAAACATTTCTTAGAATTAAATAAAAGATTTTTCAGAGAAACAATTCATATAAATGTTTGCTTCACGAAACATTTTTACATTATAAAATCTATTGAAAAGTTATGTTCCTATGAAAAATGTTTAGATGCAATTCTAACTGATTCAAAGAAAGATTGATTATACAGATAATATCAATGTTCAAAGAATAGTTTTTTCTTAGAAATGCCAATATATATGGATAGAAATAAAATCAATTATATATACAATAGATATCACTGAATACATATAAGAAATCTAATTTAGTGCACTTTACAAGCAATTTTTTTTTAACCAAATAATTTATTTATATTCTTTAATATTTTTCTTATCTTATTCACTTCATGTCATTATTATAATACCGGTGTGGGTGAGGATGTGGGGTGTGGGTGCATTAAATAAAATGCACATATTCAAACCCACATCTGCACTCACCCACACCAGCTCTTCCCACAGGGTGATACGAAAAGCCATTCACCCGGTCTCTTATACTGTATGACGATCGTGTTCCTGGAATTAGATAAAACTGATTGCGAGCCACAGCTGATTTTGTAATATTCAACTTTTCGGTATAAGATAACAGCTCCTACATCCTCACGCTCACCCACTTCAATACCCTCCAGATGGATCCTTGACGCTCTTGAAGATCTATCGAAATCCATAGGATCCACTTTTTCCCCCTGGGTAAAATAATTTTATCTTGGAAGAAAACTTCATTTTCTTATTCTTTAATTATCTAAGATCTATAAAAACAAGCACGATTATGAATCAAACTACTATCTTATTCAGAAAATTATTCATCCAGTAAAGATGTTTTTTACAAGAATGAGCTGTCTACAGCAAACATCACTCATCATCAATAATAAATGCATGAATTTTATTGTATTCAACAGAAAAATGAACAAAATGACTTTGATCAATGTCTTTTATGTTTTAATAACATAGATTTAATAAAGATGAACATTTTCTGTTAAAGAAACAAGCTTTGTTATATTACATAAAAGGAGGAAAAGATAAATATTCTGAAAATAGTCGAATGGACTCGGAATGAAGTATACAAAAACAAAACAAAAAAACAGAAATTGAATACAATATAAAATCATATATAGACAGGCGCCTGAAAAAGATAAGAGATGCAGAAAAAAGCTGCTGATGTCTTGATGATGAATATAATTCATATGAGCATAAGCCGATGACGTACTTATGTCATGCACACAAGATTCTCATGCGCAGTTGATGACGTGCTTTTATATGTGTAGATAAATAATATATAAATGATCCATGAAAGAAAATTTATCTTGAAGAGGCATTACAATAACACGCTCATGAAATTAATCATCAATCATGTTTTTTTTATTTCTTTAAGATTGGCTTCCATTTTCGCGTCACTTCATATAAATATAGAAGAAAATCGGCCTGACTAAAAACTCTTTGAGAGTGGGCCTAGATGTAGGTCTGAATATCTTGTACACATGAAAATCATATCAACAACCACAGCCACATCGAGATACAGTTTTTTTATAGTCGAGAGCAAAGAACAATTAACTCTTATTTTTAAGAAATTTTTCTCTGATTTTAATAAAGGCATTAGTTAAAATGGAAAATTCATATATTTAGTCAATAAACAAGATCAAGTAAAGATTAATTATTGACTTCTGAATTCATTATGAATAACTATGATTAGCAAATCATATTATAAAGCCAAAGAATTTAGAAACAAAATAAAATAAATGTCTAACTTTTAAAATAGTAAAATAAATGAGAAATACATAAAAACAGTTCTTATTCAAATAATATCAATCATTTTCAAAGATTTTATGACAATAAAGAAAAATATTAATTCAATCCAAATCAACAGTTTTCTAAAAGCATATTGAAAGATGGATCAAAAATTTCTCTCAAAAAAAATCAGATACACAAAATACGAACAAAATAGTATCTTAGAGTTTAATGCAAAAGAATATATAAAAACATGAATTCGTTTAAAAATCATAGAAGTATTGAGACGATGAATACCGATTCGAATGATTTTCAGAATAAGGGTTAGTGAATATTTTTATATCAATACATGTATCTTTGTCGTAGTAAGTGATAACATATCGTTTCAATTTGAAGACATTTTGTACACATACTTATGTAGTCCTTGTTGAACGGCATAAAAGTTCGAAATATGATTTATAATTATATCTAAATCATTCTTGTACTTTTTTGTTGTATATGTTAAACACCTACGTGTATATTATTAATTTATTCGAATCTTTTATGATTGATGAATCTGGGAGAAAAGCATGATTTTACTTTTCCTAACATTATTAGAAATATTTTGATTTATTAAGTCAATGATAGATCCGAAATAATAAAAAGCATGTTTTTTTGTTTTCTCTTAACTTTTTAATAAAGTCTTTATTTATTAAGTTTATGATGAATAATCATTAAATAGGCAAACATTTATCTCGTATTAATACATCTCCAACTTTGTTTTTCTTCATTTTGATTCTAAGCTGGCTCAGGTAAGTGTTTGATATCAAAAACTCTTATACCTTCTTGATATGATTCTCTAGATATTACATTTCCTTTAAATCTAAAATTCTGATATTTAATGTGGCAGATCCACATTCACAGCTTCCTATATTGGAAAAAAAACAGTCTAGATAGGAATGCGTTTGGAAGTTTTGTATCTATCACCTCAACATGTCTTGCCACGCATACCACCGATTGACAACTGTGGCTATATACTTGTTCAAATCATCCTCTGCAACTCTAGTCTGATATCGTATTCACTTCATTCTAATGTTATCTCCATCATGAGAAATCAACTCCATAGTTGGAGCCGCTTATCTCTAGTGCGCGCACTCGCCTACATTCACCGCGGAATCCCTGACTATTTGGCCGTGATAAAGTTGAATTTGGCTCCAGTACTATATCAAGAATGTAGATGAGTCTAAATTAAGAATAACGCAACAATTCACTCATATATATACATCCATCTAATTTAATTAGATTAATTCCAAATGAGTTTATTATAAAATGATAAAGAAGCTGAGAAATCTATTAATTCAGAAAATTAAAAACCAAAGGGTAAAGAGTGGAATTCTGGAATACAGAAGCGTTTATGAAATCCTTGAGAATATTTAGGAATTTTTGTAGTCCATTGGAAGTTGTTGGCATCCAAAAATGGTAAATAAGACACAAAAATCCTTGACATTTATTAGAATTTTTGAAATTCCTAGAGATTGACGAGATATTCTTCCCATTCTCCCCCAAAATCGACGATTCATCGAAAAATTTGATGAAATCTTTTGAGACTACATTGTTTACATTTATCGTTTCGAATGTTAAACTTGCAACTATGTTTGCAGACAATACCTGTTTTCATATATGATAAAAAGACATCCAAAAGACTTGAATTGAAGGGCGTGTAGTGTGTGGGTGATCTAGGTCGACCAATTTGATGTATGATCCTATCGGAATCCGAGGATCCGACAGAATCCTATAGGGTTCCGGGTGATGGATTCACTTCGGATTCTATCGTTTCGGGATTCCATCGGATCTAAATATCGGATTTCATAGGATCCAACAGACGAATCCGATAGGCGCCTAAGATCAGCTATTTATATATATAAAGAAGAATGTCTGTCTGTTCGCTAAGCATTCAGTCCCTCTAATGGCTACGATCACCAAACTTACCACGATGCTTCTTTAGGGCTCAGGGAAGGTCGACAGGGATTTCGCATGGACATTCGTGGAGCGGGTAGGCGTGGGCCGTCGGTGGAATTTCACCCAGGTAGTTATGTGACAGCTATAATCAGCAAATTTCTCATGACTGTTCCCTAAGTTCAACAGAAGGTTGAGACGGGGCGGGCGATAGTGATCAGAGATTACCAGAGTGCCTGGGCAAAACTTCACCCAGGTGATTCTGTGACAGGTAACGTCACCAACCCGTCTATGACACTTCTCTATATACAAGGACAAGTGGAGAGGCGGTCAGATACGGAAGGTGCTTGAAATTTAACTATTTTGCACCGGGAGCTGTGCGTGAAAGTTTTTGCAGCAGGCCTCACTCATACACCCACACCCTACAAGGATTTAGTAGGGATTGTTAGGGACTACCATGATCAATAGCACCGCTCTCACCCACATCGACATGATGCGCCCTTCAAGGGTACAATAGACTAACCTATAAGCTCACACCCACATTCTCACGTCTGCGCCCACACCCACACCCACCCCCACCCCACCCCACCCCACCCCACCCTCAAGATGGGTATAATAGACTCACCTACAAGCTCACAACCACATTCTCACACCCCACACCCACATCCACACCCACTCAGTAGTATTAATATAACAAAGTAATGAGATAATGAAGCAGTGAGGCATTAAGGGCCCCCCCCTCAGGAACGACATGCCACTTAGGATAGTGCGCTTGAGCTAAAATTTTCAGGGATGAGTAGTCCTGGTGAGATACGCTTCTGATAAAAATTTCAGCTCGCTAGGTCGTACCAGACCGGATTTGCACCTGACTCATAGGTGAATTTTGACCTCCAGGATAATTGACAAAACTCTCGTATAAATCGAGGTACAGAGTTCGGGTTGGTTTTAAATTAAAGCCTATGCCAGTACGCAAATTTTGTCCGAACGGATTTTTTTTACTCCGTATTGTTCGTTTTTTATGAGCATTTTAGTAGAGGGTCGCAAGATTATCATAAAAATGGCTATTCAGGAACAGTCAATCCTACTTTTCTCAGCTCAGGGATCAACTAAAAAAAATCCGTTCGGACAAAATTTTACTCTAATTAAGACCTTTAAAATAAAAAAAAAATATTGATTATAAGTCAAGACTAGAGGGAGGAGTTCCAATTTTTGGGATTGAAAAACATGTTCGAAGAAAAACGCAAAAAGGTTTTTGTGTACAGAAAACCGGTGAAAAACTCAGTTTTTTGATGGAAATTTCATTTTTTGCATGATGACCTTCACCAAAATTTACACCATTCGATAGAGAATTAAATTCTGCATCTAACACAACTGTTTCTAGAGCCAGCAAAAATTTCTAGGCGAATCTGGACAATAAACACTCGAATATAAAGCTAAATTTTCTGACGTAAAATATATCAAAAAATAGGGTAGTAAGGTCGAGAGTTTTGCTCATAAATCTATAGAAATTTCATTGTTTTGCGAAAACCTACATATATTCTGAAAGAGGAAGCTTCAGCGCATCTTTCTATGTAAAAAAAATCGATTTCAATTTTTCTTAAAAAAAGTGCTTTTTCTGAGGGGGGCCCCCTTAATTGATAATAGTAGAATTGTTTTTTTCATGAAAGTTTTAATTTTATATTCAGAATAATCAAAATAAATATTTACAAGTGATATCTATTATACTGTAACAAATGTCCTCCTTGAAAGAATACTTTCGGAATTTAAATTTATTTTCACCATCATCAGATTCCAATGAACAAGAAAATGAACAACAACGTCGATGGAATACTATTGGTACACGAATTTATATTATACTTATCATATTCATTCTTTTTATTATTGGTCTTATTTTATTATTACTTGAACAATCGACGATGGTTACTATATCAAATCCAACAAAAGAACAGTTTGAACGTCTGCCTACCAATGCAAAATGTTTATGTTCTCATATTTCTATTCCATATGGAAAATTTATGTCATTGGAAACAAGTTTTCATCAAGTTTGTTCAAGTGATTTTATTACTGATCGATGGCTAAATACAATTGATTCGAAAACAAATACAACTTACTTTACCTTTCAAGACTTTCGACGTTTTGGTAATGCTCAATTTCAAGCACTTGCTGCTTACTGTCGTTTGTCAAAATCATATACTAATCAAAGTATTTATGCCATTTTTCAAAATACATTGTTGAGTCCGCAAATTTTAACAGAAACATTTCTGGAGTCACAAATCAATACAACAATTGAACAATTCAAACTAAAAACACCAAATACTTTTAATAGTCAACTAAAATTAATCATCGAAATGACAATCGCCAATGAATTAATACCTGCAGTACAAACTACCACCTTTTTCCTAAAGATAGGCGAGGGACTTGGTCTACATACACGTTCTTACCGACGAACGAATGGTTCTGAGTGTGAGTGCCCACTAAACAATTGTAATCAAAGAGGATCAGGTATTGTCAATAAATTTGGAAGACAGGTAGTGTTTCAGACCATGGATAGTTTAGCATGGTCTATACCAGGAATGTCAATAGGTTGTTTCCCAGGATTTACACTTCTATCGTCGACACTTGAATGTTTATACAATCAAACATGTGTAAAAAAACTTATTTCATATTTTCCAACAAGTAAAGAATTCAAAGCGATGATTATAAATAATGAAAGTTTATATGAACCAACATCAACTGTCCAATCAATAATTGATAATTTGATGATTGAAAATTGGACAATGAATATTTCTTATGATAAATATTATTCAGAATGTGCACCATCTTCATGTACTTATTTGAAAATATCTCGACGGGATTTTGTTCATGTCTTGAAAAAACTGATTAGTTTATTGTCTAGTTTGACATTAATACTGAGATTAATAATTCCGCTTGTCATTGGATTCATTATGAAACGACGAGATCGAACACCAAAACCACGAATTTCATGTAAGTAGAAATTACTGTCAATGAGAAAGTGAAAAGTAACAAATTAGTAGTTAAGAACAGAACAGTAAAAAAGAAAAAGATGACAAAGTGAAAATAAGCGTAAGTCAAGCATGAAAAAAGAGTTGATGATTTTATTTATGACAATAGTTAAAAAGTAATTAATTTTGTATATTTTGATAAAATGAAATCATATTTCTTCTCTTAATATTTAGTTAAAAATCGTTTATATCAATATAAAGAAAATATGAAAAAGAAATTAATTGAATTGAACATTTTCAAACATTCTTCTAATACAAATCGACAAACGAAATTTCAACGTTATGCAACACGATTGTATTTATTTTTTCTCATTAGTTCAATGATAATTATAACTATTTATGTATTTTTACAAGAATCGGTTCAGTCAAAAACGATTTCTTATCCTACTGAATCTCAGTTTATTCAACTTCAACAAAAATATTCTCGATCACTTTCATGTCCATGTAGTTCAATATCAATATCTTATTCAAATTTTACAATAATTCAACCACAATATCATCAATTATGTCGAAGTGTTCTCATTTCTGAAAGTTGGATTCGTTACATCACGGAAAGTATCGATAGTAGTGGTACATTTCATTATGATTATCGACTAATTTCTATTAGTTATTTTCAATTATTATCAATATTTTGTGAACAAGCTAAAGAAATCATTGATAATGCACTTGAGATTTTTCTCAGGACAGAATTCGTTAGTTCACAAGCTCTTACAAACGAATCGTTTCAAAATCAAATAGATTCATCGATTGAAGATTGGGAATTAACAACAACAAATAATTTTAAAAGAACTATTCAATTAATTCAACAAATTTATCAAGGAAATCAATTGATTAGTAGTATACATACTGGCACTTTTGAAGTAGATAGAAATTCAGAAGTATATATAAACTCAGAAACAGAGCAAGGGTGTAATTGTATTTTATCTTCATCCTGTAATTCTACTGCTACAATTTATCAACTCGATAACTATGGTGAATATCTAAGTGATCCATATCCAGTCTCGAATATTTTTTATGGTTGTTATCCAACTCAATCATTATTGCTATCAACATTAGAATGTTTTTATAATCTATCATGTATGTTAGAAATTAATAAACATTTAGGTTCTTCAGTACCTTTCAATTTTTCTGCTCTTGATCAAAATTTAAATCAACCAAATGAAACAATCGAAATGATTCTCAATCGATTAATGGTTGATAAATGGTTACCAAATGTTAATTTTTCATCATATTATGAAAAATGTTTACCAAAATCATGTACATATCAATATGATGATCGAAATAATATTTTTATTAGTATTACAACTATTATAAGTATTTTTGGTGGTTTATCACTTGCATCGAAACTTTTAATTATGATTAGTCTGGAATTTATTAATAAAATTTTATCAAATAATTTCTTTCATTTAATTTCATTCAATTTCATTAAACAAATCTTTATTTGTCATACTGAAAATCAAATTATTCATCGATTACATGTGATTTTAGTTATTGGAATTCTTACTATATTTTATATATTTTCTACTTTTACTCCTCATGTAATTACTATTCAAACGAATAAACCTTCATTAGAAATCTATGAAGATCTACATAAAAAATATAATGATACACTGGAATGTCCATGTTCGCAATTATCAATGAAATATAAATCATTTTTAACTTTTACAACTCGTTTTCATGAAATATGTTCAAGTAACTTTATTACAGATCGGTGGCTTTTATATTTATATAAGAAAAGAGATAGTAATAAACGACATTCACCATATGATTTTTATAATTCAGCTGTTGGACAATTTAAATTACTTTCCTCATTTTGTAATTTATCAAACGAAACAGTTTCTGAATCAATTATTCAATTAGGAACAGCGAATTTTATTAATAATCAACTTTTATCATCATATCTCTTAAATAATACAATTGAAATGTTTATTAATGAATTTAAACAAACAATATCACAATCATTTGTCAATAGTATTTCATTAATTCGAGAAACAACTAGTAGTAATATGTTAATGACTAAATATCTAAGTAATTGGGAGTTAGACGGTTCAGATCCTGACTTTGCTTACATGGTTATTTATATGTTTCCCTTAAATTATAATGGATGTAGTTGTTCATCATCATCTAAATGCGTTAGTTCATCTCGTGGAATGTTAACTGGTTGTTATCCACTTGAAACAATATTTCAAACAACATTAGACTGTTTTTATAATCAACAATGTATTGATTCAACAAATAATTTCAAATCAATAAATATTTCATCATTAGAAAGAAGTCGTTTTTTATTAAATCAAACAATTGAATCAGTTGTCAATAAATCAATGATTGAAGAATTAAAATCTGAAATAAATTATACAAATTATTTTGATGCATGTTCACCATCATTATGTATTTATTCATATGTTGATAAAAGGAATGCTATTGAAGGAATATTAGCATTAATTGGTTTATATGGTGGTTTAGTTATTATTTGTCGATTAATTGCTATTATTATTGTCAAAAAAATGTGTCGGGTAAATAGTAGAGTTAATACGGCTACAAATTTATCTTAAACAAACAAAAACTTTATTGCTTTTCATTTCTATTCATATTAATCACGCTTTATGCTTACTAAATAAATAAAAATAAAACTTAACATATTCATTTTTTCTTCAATATTCAAACTCGATTTACTTAGTCCCAGATTGTTCTTGAGGGTGTGGGTGTGGGGTTGTGTTTGCTTCAAATACTAATGCTCATAGCACAATACCATCACACACTCACACCTTTAGAATATTTCATGTTGAATATCACAAATTCGTAAATTATTAAGAGAAGAAAAACAAATTTTTTTTTCTAGATTAATTTATTTTAAAACTAGTAGAAGTACCCGCTGCAAATTCTCTCTCACACAGTTCTCGCTGCAAAATCCTTTTCTTACAGTTCCCGCTGCAAACTCTCTCTC